AACATGCCATAAACATTTTTGGGGTACAACAGCGCCATCTATTGGACAAAATTCTAATTTTTTTCTGTGATTGTAGATGTCACTATGAATGATTTGATTTTTTACTTTCTGTACAGAATATATATTTTTCATGAGTAAAAGGGCGAAAACTTTTAAAGCCTATTTATAGCCTATAAGCCACGCCCACTTTTTAATCATTTTCGAAATATAGCGTAAGGGTCCAATGATTAACATATCTGCCAAGTTTTGTGGAAATCCATCAAGCCGTTTTGCTGAAACAAACTTTTTGAATCTTTAGCGCCCCCTATTGGTGAATCCAAACAAAATTGCGTAGATAGGGTTTGCCGCTCATACTTTGTAAGGGTCTAGAGTCTCATCATTTTATCTTGAAAATTGTTGAAGATATAATCAATTAGGACATGTGCTAGCTAGCGCACTGAATTTGACATGGTGTCATTAACCCCATTTTCAATAATTCCGCGTTTTTCCTCATCACAACAACTTCTCTTCCTCCATAGATCATATGTTCAAAGGTTGAAGTTGATTCGACGAAAAATGACGAATAGGTGATTAAAACTAAGTTTTGCGTTTTTTGAGATCTAGCAAAAAATCTAGTTAGGCGGAAATGGGCGTGGCCACTACAAAAAAGATGCAGAATCATCCAAGGATCATGTCCATATAAAGTTTTTTGACTGTAGGGCCTATGGTTTTGGAGCTAGTAGCTCAAACGTATTCACCTCCGCAATAGCGCCACCTAGGTGACTCGGGGTCCAAATTTTCGAACCTGAGTAGCGGTCAGGATTTTCTATCAGACTGCCATATCAGATTTTTCCTGGCAATTTCAGGCTCTTGCCCCCATACAGTATTAGCGGAGCAGAATAATAATGAAATGAAAAAAAAATCCGTAGAAAAACAATAGGGTTCCAATGCCCTTTGGGCTGCCCTTTGGGCTTGGAACCCTAATAAACAGGTTCCCTTTCTTTATCTTAATTAACACAATAACTATCTCAGCAGGTGACACAAGTCCGGAGTAACTTTTGGGAATTGCAGCAGTTTGTGGAAACAATGAGAAATGCACAGATTCCAACTCCAAACGCTCGGCTGCATCAGAGGAGGAAGGGACGCCCTGAGGCAGAGTTAGACAACGTTAAGGAAAGCAAGTATCCTCACACAACCTGTTCTCCTCTGTCCCTGAGCTGAAAAGGAAAAGACAATGTTCTCTCTCATCCTCCCACTCTCACCGCTTTTATACCTCAGGTTGTTTGTGAGAACCTCTTGCAGCAAACAACCCAAAAAAGGCCGGCTTGTGAAAATGAAAAATGGGCCGTTAGATGAAAACCAGAATGAAAATCACCAGCAGGGATAAAAATACACATTCCTGCCTTTTGAACAGCCTCGCCGTCTCCTGAGTTGAAGATAAGACACCTTAGAGAATACTATTTTTGATCCGACTCGCATGTTATAAGGCTGTGTTTAACTATGACCAGTCCTCGGGTTGCCTCCAGAAAGAAACAATAAAAAATCCGCCTCAGTTACTCACCATTATATATACTCTTCCCTGCATCGGCGGTTGATTCCTTAATCACAAAGCCACGTTGTGCAGTGACAGCAGTGACAGAATTATATGCTATTAGCATTAAAAATGCATTGAGTTCAAGCTAGAGGGGGGACATACTTTGACATTATCAGCGACAGTCTGTTGCATGTTTGCAGCGCTGGAAGACTTTGTAAACAAAGGAAGTCAAAGGAGATGTTTATTACTCAGCCACGCTGCTTGTCTGGACTCTTTACCTCAGCTACACAGCTGTTTGATCAGCTGTTTGTGTAAATGTGAGGGGGAGAAGAACCAAAACATACTAGTCCACTGACAAGAGACAAAGGGAGCACGGTGCCGTGAACGCAGAGGAAAAGCAGGAAAAGTTGCCTTCCTTTGCTTTCATGTGTTTGCAGTCATGTGGTTTCACAGTTTGAAGATCTGTTCCTTCTTTTCTTTCAGCGTGCGAGGGCTGGTGCACGAGCACTTGTGCTTTATACCCGTCACTTTCTGAGCTCTGTTCTAATCTCTTTGGTTTATCTGCGTTGTTGCACATGTGTACACAGCATCTGCGTGTGTTTTCGTGTGTGTGTACGCTGCAGAGGGTGGAAGCCCCTCAAGCAGTGACTGAACTGGGGAAGATTACCTTGCATTTTATTTATTTGCTTTTTGATCCACCCCGACCACCCTTTAAAGCCACCTAGTCATTCCCTTTAATCCCTCCAGGGACAACGTATCTGAGGAAAGAGAAATGATGAGGGAAACGTGGAAACAAGGTGGGAGACTTTGGACCACAAAATCCTAGTTTTAATGGACTAAATTTTAACTTTAACTTGGATTTATTTTATAAACAAGTTATTTTAAAAGTTTTTCCCATCAGGTGGATTAAAATGCATTCTTTAACATTATGATATTTAGTGTTTATATTACAATAATTAAATTACAATAAAATGATGTCAGGATCTTTTTAGGTCTGGCTTACATGAGACTCTAGTGCTATAATAGGGGTCATTATAAGTCACACAGAGGTGCATTCGGACATTAATTTTAGAGTTAAAACTTATGTAAACTACAAAATAATAAGAGGAAATTCTTCTAGGCTTGTTTTCCAAATGCGTCAATGAATCAATGATAAAATAGATATTCATCACATAATCACATTTTCTATGATTTCTCCCAAGCACACTTTTTTCACAAAGCATAATTTATTCACAGTTCACAAGAGAAGTCATCTTACAAACCACATTCATTTGTAATCTAACTACACGCTATTCTGTTGAGTCTAATTAACTCCAATACAATCCAGTTCCATCTGAAACTGGTTCAATTCAACCAAATGATGATAACATAAAATCTGATTTACAGGACAATAAAATACTATTAAGTAAAAAATCTTTGGTGTGTTCTTGCTGTGTTGAAGTTGTATTTCCATCTTTTAGTTCTTTTTAAAATACAGAAAGGTTTTATTTTGCGTTTGCGGCTGCAAACGAAACGTTGCAGGTGAATAAAACCTTTCTGTGTTTTAAAAAGAACTAAAAGATGGAATATTAAGTAAAACATTTGTCTCAGAGGTTTCTAGCTGGCTTTCCTTCCCAAAAATCTGCAACCGAGCGTCCAGTCAGAACCAGAACCCTCTGTGCTCTAACTCAGTAAAGGAAAAGGACAGCGTGCATAATAAACAAGTTCTGGCTTAAAGTCATATAAACATATATATTGTTTCTAGGGCTGCACAATATTAGGAAAGCCTGTAATATGCGGTAACAGTGATTAATATTGCGATGATGATATTACTTGCAATGAATAAAAACTTAACTCAGGAACAAAAATAATCAAAAACAAAACAATTTAAAAATGGCTAAAAATTCATAAAAATGAGAAAAGCAAAAGATGTGAAGAAAGGGAAAAAGAAAAAGAACAAGAATAGGCAATCAATGGATCCCGGGAAAAGCAGAATCAGCAGAACAAAGCTAACTAAGGTGTTTGCTAACCATCAACCACCTTAGTTATGCCGTCCGCCTCGGGGGTGGGCATCTAACCTATGAGAACGCACCCAATTGGCTAAATGGGCGAAGAGCTCTATTTTAGGGATGTCCCGATCCGATCACATGATCGGAAATTGGCCACGATCACGTGGTTTCAGACTGATCGGGACTTGGGCTTTACTTCCCGATCCAAGCCCCGATCCGGAGTTGGATGCTGGGTTCAAATTACAGGAGAGCAACTTGGTTCTCCTTAAAGGTTGTCAGGCTCCCCTGATGCCCTTAACTTACACACCCAGAAGGAGCAGAAAATAGATCCAGTTTCTACCTATTTTATATTATTTATATGGACTCAGAGTAGCGGGGATTCTTTTGGGCAGAGATGCAGAGAGCGGCAGGCAGACCGCTGATTATTCATGAACTCCAGCTGCGTTCTGCACACGGCCACAGTAACATTTTCTAAGTTTCTAAGTGACATCACCAAAAAAATATATAATTAACACACAAGTCATTCGTGTCCGTTCATTTTCTCTCTGGTAAGTTCTGTCTGTATTTGAGCATGACGTGCGGACACGCTCGCACTGCAGCGCTCGTCACTGGTGCAGCCGGGCAGCACGGCGCACACTCCGCGTTTTTTTTTTTTGCGGTCAATAGATCAATTTGATCTGCTAGTTAAAAAGTTACTTGTGAGGTGAAAAATAAGGAAGCAGACAGGAGTGTTTCAGGAGGACTGGGAGATGCAGGAAGATCAGAGACAGACAGGACTGGAAGATAGGAAAATAAAAACCAAGAAAACTAAACAAAGTTCTTAAAAAAATCTAATGTAGGTAGATTGATCCCACTACACGTTTGTACCTGTATAAAGCAATAACTTATCAGCATGTAGTATTTATATAGTTGATACAATTCAGATCACCTTCAAAACTCCTTCCCATGACCAGGGACGTATCTAAGCATTTTGGGGGCCGAGGCAAAATAGAGCCCTGCCAGATATTTTAAGTAGAAGTAATATCTGTTTTTATATTAGACTTTTTATATTTGCAATAAAGTCCAAAAGTGAAGAATTTATGTTATTTATTACTTGATTGTTCAGGCTACCTCACAGAAGTGATCTGTTGTTAAAATTTTAAATAAAAAGGCAATTAAATAAAAAATAAGGAACATTCTGGAACTATTCTTCATTTTCTTTTTTTTTTTTTAATGTATCAAAAGTATTGGATCGGGACTCGGTATCGGCAGATTCTCAAAATCAAATGACTCGGACTCGAGGGCAAAAAAAAAAAACCTGGTCGGGACGTCCCTACTCTATCTGATGGATTAAAATAACATCATGCTTCCATCTGACAGAATGCAGAAAACATCTGAGCTGACCATTCACTGTGATATTTATCTGTAATTTGCGATATGCATATTGCGCATGCTGATATCACGATAACGATATATTTGCGATACATTGTGCAGCCCTAATTGTTTCTTTTCTTTTGTACCTGTGTGCGGTCGATGGTGCTGCTGCTAGGCTTCCTCCCCCTCCCCTGCCCCAAACTGCATTTATTTCTCACACACGGTCGGTCCTTCGCTGACCTCTCCTTAAGAGGAGATCTGAGGGGAAGGAAAGACAGAAGGAAAAGGCTGTTAAATTTCTCTTAATGGAATGCCAGGGAGAACCTGGTCAGACAGAGGACAAATGTATCACAGAGAAATACGCGCTGGTGTTGAAAAATGTATGGAGGAAGCCAGGAGGGACTCTGCTATACTGCCCCATTTACTCTACCTCCTAACCCTGCAGGAGAGCCAATGAACCAAAGAACAACTGCACCACCAATCACACACCCAGTGTGTACACTGCAGCAAACCTATGTGAACACCACCCCACACACACACTAAACAGAGCAACCCCACCACCTCCACCCCCGCTGCACAGGAACAATGTCCTTCCCAAAGGTTATCAGCAGCCCGGTGCTTGGTCAGCCCTCATCCTGAGTCCATTACACACACAGGGAGGGCAGATTCACTGCCTTAATACACCCCCTTTAGTCTCTACTCGCTGCTTCACTGCCTACTTTAAAACAGGCCGATACCAATCTGACACAGAGCCACAGACAAACTTAAACGTGGGTACTAGCATAACAATTCACCCATTTGCACAACTTTTAATTTCAACTTTGATTATCCGACCCCAAGTCCTTTTGAATTCAACCCTTTCAGGCTGAAAGGCTGAGAAGAAATGAAATACGTTTGATTCTGTTGACAGACATACAGACAGACAGACAGACAGATCACAATATGAGACAAGGGGTAAACCAATATGTCGGTCGGTCTTAGTAAAGCTGATTTAAAGTCACACCCCTGCGGCAGAATTTAATTTAAAAGTATATTTATGAATAACATCTATATTATAAATACTCACAAAAATTATTTCCAACAAATAATTGTTTTTATATACCAGTTTTGAGATTTTAATTCTTAACTGATTTGTTGAACTTTAGTTAGAGTCTGATTTTACCGCTGCGAAGAGCACAAAATAAATATTTAACAGTCGGTTGAATTCAGTGTTTAAGAGAAATTTTGTGCATCAACTAATGCTATCAGTGATGTTTTAGTTCGCAAATAAGGTGGAAAATGTCTAGATATCGGCCGTAAAAATCAGCCCATAATATTTGGAATTTTTAAGACTTAATGTAATTAGAAAATTCAGGCCAGGTGCTTCCAAAACACATTCAGTGTTACAGCAAGATCTCGTTGTGCCGTCAGAAAGAAGGCTGTAAAAACTACCGCCACCTAGCAGTCAGAGTTTGAATTACAACACAAAAGAAACACTGGAAAGGTTTACATGTAAAAAAATCAATACACTGCATTTTAACATCAATTCAGTATCATAATGTGAAACATCCCGATATTTGACTAGCAGTGGACCAATATTGATTTTTCTATTGCCAATCCCGACGCTGATATATAGGAGACAACACGGTCAGCCGATCGTCCTTATGTACTGCCGATTTTCATGGCTGATATCTAGACATTTTCCACCTTAAGTTCATGCTCAAATGTCACAAATAACATCAGATGATGCACACGGAACTCTGAATTTAACTAACAGTAAAATCTTAACTTTGTGCACTTCTCAGTGTTAAAGTCAGACATCTAAATAAAGTTATTTTAGAGTATATATTATGCAGATGTTATTAGTGAATGTAAAACATATTTAAATTAAATTCTGCAACAGCACCGGGCTGCCCAAAGATGTGCCTGACTTTAAATGGGCTTTACTAAGGACATATATCGAGCAACACTGATGTATAAAAAACTGTAAATATAGGGCAGATATACCGGTCCAACCCTAGTATCAATATTTGTCATCCATCCATCCATTTTCTATACCTGCTTGTCCACGCAGGGTCACGGGGGGCGGTGCTTCTCTCCAGCATTCACTGTGCAAACAGGCAGGGTACTATAATATATTTTAGGGTAGGGCTGCTCAATTAATCGAATTTTAATCACGATTACGATCTGAGTTTTGAACGATTATAAAAAACAAAACAAGCCGATTATTTGCTCCTCCCGCTTGCGCTGCCCTGAGTTGCAAATGAAGCGCTCCTCCACAGTGTTGCCAACTTAGCGACTTTGACGCTATTTCTAGCAGCTTTTCAGACCCCCTTCTTGACTTTTTAATCCTAAAAGTACCTAGCGAACATCTCAGAAACATCTCTGGTAACCCTTAGCTACTTTCTGGATAACTGTCGTCGACATTTCCTGCAGGTTAGCTAAACACTCCGCCTGCGCTCCGGACCGTTCTTCACAACATTAGGAAAGGGAATGATGCAGTGATGTGTCTGTCGCTAAAGAAACAGCTCTCAGAGCCGGCTCCCTGTTGGATTAACCAGAGTGAGTGACATACACACCGTACCTGCGGACTCCTGAGCAGCTAAAAACAGCTAAATGTGCGCGTGCAGCGTGCTAAACACACGTGCAGCTTGCCCGATTGCTGTAAGACCGGGGTGGGGGGTGCGCAGCTGTGGTTGGGACAATTATTACATTAACTGATGGGCCTGTAAATAAATAGTTTATAAATAAGGTAGAAATAAGTTACTCACGCTGATAAATAATAACTAATCTCTCTGAGGACACAGTGCTAGTGCACTCTCCTACAGCACCTTGACACGACTCAATAAATGTTATGCAACATTTTGTGAACATCAATTTATTTGCATTTATTTGTTATAAATGCCACTGTATAATTCTTGCTGTCAGTATTTGCAAGATATTGGTATTTGGGTCTGTACTGGTTAGACTTAAATGAGTTAAACCAAGGTCTATAGCCCTTGGGTCATAGACTATGAGCTATAAGTATATTGGTCTTTTTATCCTGGGAATCAGGAGTTATTTTAGTGACCATCTTGTTTCTTATTTTTGTCCTAATTGTGCCCTGAGCAATTTTATGACTGAATAAAAACAAATAAAATCATCATAAATTGAAAAATCGTCCTAAATAATCGTGATCTCAATTTCAGTCACCATAATCGTGATTATTATTTTTGCCATAATCGAGCAGCCCTATTTTAGGGTTTAAATGTTGTTCTGCTTCAGCTAGGCTGTATTATATCAACACACCGCCTGCTGCGGCACCTTCGGCGCTGCTTTCTGCCTTTCTGCTCAAGGCGCAGTAGCGGCCTCCCAGGTCAGCTTTCAAATCACCAGAGAAAGAAGATATCATGACGAGTCGGCTACGTAGCTCAGAAATTTGGGAGCATTTTGCAAAGACAAAAGAGAAGCACTTAAGAGTGCAAAATCTGCTAAGTGAGACTCTGCTTTCATGGGAGCACATCACGGATGCACGAGCATCTTAAAAGGAAGCACGTCATGGCGAAGAATGAATAATGGCCTCTGTAAGCTAACTACCTCTTGTTAGCTGCTAACATCAACAGAGAGCTACTTGTATTCATAGGTGCAGCAACAAAATGAGTGATAATGATGTTATTACCTTTACAACACGTATATATGTCATGTATTTGCTCTGATGCTACAAACGCTGATGATTTACTTTATCCAGCTATGTTACAGTGGTAAAAACAACCGCTCCTCCTCCTTCTATGGATGAGTTTGTTACAAAGCCAAAAATAACTATTTTAACTGGATACATTTGTGAGCACGTCATTTCTGTGTACAATGTATTTTTGATTTAAGATGCCAACCTCGACTGTAGCATTTGTGTTAACAGGTTACAAAGTTGCTGAAGCTAACGACGGGTATATTAGAGCATCCTGGTGCTATAAGCTAAACTTTTATGCATGACACAATTAGCCGACTATCAAAATAGCCATTTGTGGAAACCCTATTCCAAACATCGCAAAATAAAACGGACACATTTTTCATGCGTTTTTAGAAACGTTCTTAAAATAATGGAAGAAATTTTGCCGCACAAGAGTTTAGACTCTGTAAAATCAAACAGTTTCTTTTCTCTTTTCAAGACCATATTTATGCCTGATTCAGTTGTAATTGGCAAACAATGTGGATAAAGGTCCCACCTATTCAAAACAACAGCCGCTCACATGTTTAATCCACGTAAAAAATAGACATACGGAAGAACTAAAGTGGGATGAGGGGGTTGACTTTGGACAGAGGCCAAAAAGAAGAGGATAGAGGCGGAGGAGAAAACCATAAATACGCAGGGAGGCGAGCAGGTGTTGCACACAAATGTGATTTACAAGATCTATGTCCCTTACCTTGCTGACAGATAAGGCTATTAAGCTGATATTACGCAGCTATAACACATGCCGATGGACCCGTTCAAAAGCATTTGTGTACTCAGTGTGCAAAGGTGATCTGCTTAACAGAGATCATATTAAATTGGAAAGAAGGCCCACCATTAAGTCATTTATTGTGGTGATTTTCACTTGTTTTAAATCAATCCACTGGATATTTTTTGTCAAAGTGAAATCTGGTTTTATTCCAGAGGTTAGACTGAATTCCAGGTTAACAGCAGAGCTGGGCCGGTGGGTCTTCCCCTCTCTCTAGGTCTGTAAATGAGATTGAGCCCCACATCTCCGTAGTGAACTAAATGCTCTGACAGCCGCGCAGCTTTGCATATTGGAAACTGCCGGGGAGAAATCACTCTGGAATGCAAACATTTATGAGAAACTAAATGCACTAGAACATCAAGATCTGCAATCGAATTTCACTCCTAATACCGCGTGAGAGACATGAGACTACAAGAAAATTGCTACCACTTGAGCAGCACACTACAGATGGTGTTGAGAGCAACACAGCACAAAGCAATGTGTTCCTCAATAACGTGGTGAATATTGCAGTGCAGTTTCTGCACACCCCAGCTTTTTTCCCCCCTCCTTCTTCCTGTCAGGAGAGCAAACTCTTTCATCCTGGATATAGAGGCTGCAGTAAAATCCTCAAAGAGACTAATCGTGTTAAATGAGTTTTGTATCCATGACTTCTCAGCCTGTGCAGGATGTCAGAGGTTGTACGGGACTGTTAGGCTAACATTTCTTGTCACCTTTCAAACTCTTGAGTCAATTCTACAAAAGACTAGAGCCTCTTGTTCTATCATCATGGCTGGAGTTACCCTCTCAGAACTTCAGTCCTGGCAA